CCCAAATATGTATTTTGATGTGCTAAAGGTCCCTAAAGAGGGCTGCAGAACAGTTTAGTAATCTCAAGCAGCTCCAGCCCCTCGCTCCTTAATTTCCTTTGTGAGGGGGACAAATGGCCCAGGGGGCCAGCCTTGGCTAGGATAGGGAAGAAACATGGCGACAGTCCCATTCTGAATAATTAAGGGGAAGAGAGGCTATGCTGGGCCGGCAACTGTCCTTGGGGGCTAAGTCCTGGAGCGTCCCCCCCCCTGCGCTTGGGGAGGGAATTTCGCATTTCTTTCCAGGACAATAAGAATATCTGTGCCAAAGCAGAGGAGGAGGCCGGGAGCTCCGAGGCATCTCTGCTTGAGTCTCTTGACACTGTCTGATTGTTAGTGTTGAGTTTTTGCTTGGATCACTAATCGTGTCCATTTAGAGCAGGCTGGCTTGGGTGAAGGCAGTGGAGGGCTGAGGAAGGGCAGAAAGGACCAGTCTGGTTGCAGGCGGGGGTGTGAGGTGGGCAGGGAGCTGGACTGACTCTAAAGTGGCCAAGTTACAAATGAGTAGCTGCGAAGTACAGGGTGAATCTTGGATCTACAGATGGGGGATGGAGCACTTCCACAGTCCCTCCTCCCCTGGGGTTAACTGCTGTTGACCGACTCGTTTGTTTGCAGCCTCCTTCCTCTGACACATTGGGGTTCAGCTCGATTTTGGGGTAAATGAAAAGCTACAAGTTTGATCCTTATATGGGACAGTTTACTTCACGCTGGGAAAAAACTGGCTACTTCCTATCTCCTGGCTCCAGTTACCAACTGATAGGAGTTAAAGTGGGGAGTTAGGGATCCTGGCAAACCCATTCCCAGTACTAGAAATTCATGTCACCCAGTGTGTTCAGATGGTGAGTGCAGCCGGATCCGGCCCCAGCAAGTTGGCATTGGGAAAGAGCTGAAACGGCTCCTTAGTTTCTTCCTCACACAGGATGTCTAGCTCTGGAACTGAGTTCTGGGGACCAAGAGGAGGTAGGCATCTTCCTCCTGCATAATTAGCTACATCAGTCTCAAAAAATACTGATGGCCCAACCCTTTGGACATCATACTGTGCCTAGCACTAGCTAGTAATCTCAACCCAGTCCTGGACCTCCTGAGTTGACAACCTTAAGTCACACAATAATGACACAGATCCCAAAGGCGGGCAGTTAACAAATATATCTAATTGTTTGCCAATCACAAGGGATCCACTGAGTGAGCCAAGCGACAAACAGGGCCCACTTCAAAGAGCTTCCAGTCTGGTGGGTAAAGAGGTAAGACTGAGTGAAGACTTGGGAGAAGAGGTTCACGTGAGGAAACACGGTCAATTTGGGCATTCTCGAACAGTCTTTTACTTTTTTTTTTTTTACAGTACCTATTGGCATGTGTCAGGGTTTTCTGTCTACTTGAGCTGCGTCTCCCACCCCCGACCAAGGGTGTAACTCCAGCTCTCCACGCGCACACGGGGTCCATACAAAGGACCAGAGGCAGCCTCGCTCTGCGCGGCGTGGTGAGGAGACCAGTGTTAGGAGGTGGGGCCGGAGGCGCCCAGCGTGGGCTCGTCCTTCTCCGTGGGTGACCAGGGCTTGTTATCCGCCCTCGCCTCACGGTCCCGTCCGCAGATGAGTTCCCTTGCGGCATTTTCAAGGCAGTCCTCCACCCCTGTTCCCGCTAGCTGTGAATTCCGGCCGCGCACCGGTGGCACAGGTTTGGGGCAGGGGCCCGAAGGAGGCTCCGGGTCGCTAAGTCTCCCCAGCTTGCGCCTGCCAGGCCTGGGCTGCGAAGGCGTCGCCACCGGCCCGTCCCGCAAACACTTCCAATAGGCGCCTGCGTCCCGGGAGGCTTCTGAGGGCCGGGGTGGGTGGGGGGCGACC